CGTTTCCAGAATCGCCCGGTGTGTCCAGTTCTTCAACAAGCAAACCCTCACCAGCGCTGATATCGCTCCCACTAAGACAGGTAGCTGAAATGTGCAAAAAAACAGGATAATGATCATCAGATAGTGAACTGGTGTTTCTAGAACAAAAAGGCTAATGCAAATGAACAGATGTGCATTGTTTTGCCCGAGTGATGGATGGGGGGGGGAGAGATGATACAAAAAGAGACACATGAAATAGTCTGATCGCTCCAAAATGAGTGGACACGTGACCAAAGAAACTACAACAACAAAAATGGATGTGAAAAAGCGCTTCGATTTCCTAATAAACCGAGCACCTCTACAGAATTGTGAGAAACAGCTACGATTGTCGTGATACTCTTGCTCATCAACAGATATTACGCGATGAACCAGAGCGAAGTTTTACGTTGTTGTCAATGAAGAAACACATACACACACAGGACTACGGTGTTGGTATAGTGTGAAGGCAATGATTGAGTGTCTCATCGCGGTGCTGCGCGCATCATCTGACATCGAGGTTTTGGGCAAGAGCAATACTTATGCTCACTACAACGGTCGGTACACATTTGCGTCCGATAGGATTGGTTCACGCGAAGAAGCACGCCAGTGAGAATCATTATTTTTACGTGACTTGACATAGCGAGGAACCGATGTGATCCACAAGGTTTTTGCGGGTGATTTGTCACGGTAAACCGGTGTGTGGTTGATTGAATAACTCCTGTAACGGTTCCCGTTCGTACAGTCATTAACCAGGCACCGTTTGCCGACAGTGTATCTTTGAGCTGACCAAAGAGGAAATACGAGAACCGGTCAGAGCGGAAACAAAATAACAATATGGAATGCGGTTAAGTCAAATGTACAGACGCGAATCGGTTATCTCCAGTTGGGCTGGTGTAAGCGATCTCACTCACGTCTCGTAGACGGAGTCTGACACGTTCGAGCATGAGGTGCATGTTCAGGTCATGCGTGTTTCGGTTGTAGCAGCCAGTGTAAGAAGAAGTCACCATCATCATCATTGTACAGTGTAATACAGTGAGGCGAATCTCACTGATTGCTGCCAAACTGATTATACATACGAGGTAGGTGAGAATGTGTGTAAGGAGCATAGGGATAAGGCCTGTTTTTAGGGACGGGAAAAGAAAGCTAATCTCTATGGTCAACACACAGAGAGCACAGTCCAGTTGTGCATACATACTATTTCATGCATTCTGGTCTGATAAGAAGTGACAGCAAGCTCGCCATTGCCGTCAAGTCACAGCTATGACCTTCGGTGTCTCCAACTATGCGGCTACGGAATCTTTTGGACCCCAAACCGGAACACGAGAGACACTGTAACGCTCGGCAACCGCACCAGTAATATGTTATCGTAATTGCTTTTATCTCACTGGATTTTTTCGGTTCATGGCGTTTTTGCTTGATTTGCCTTGAAGGTCTAACTTTAACCCCAACCGACGGAAGACCTGTCAGCCAGTGTTTCCTCGCCAACCCGTGTCCCGCATCTCTACCACCGTTCGTCACCCGTAAAGCCTCGAGTCGTTTTCCACTGCAAAAATACGAGCCGAGGGACATCCCGTCACAGCAGTTCCGTCCACTCCATTGTGCTGTGAGAGTCCGGAGTATGTTCGCATTACAACACCTTTACCTAATCAGTCTGTGCATTTCTTCATGCCTCGTCTCACGTCATCTGGTGGCATCCCCATGGCTTTCTCCGGTCTGTAACAGCCACTGCAAACAAAGCGCGCTGTATTTTATTTCGCCTGTTCGCCGAGCTTCGCAATTTGTTTGCAAACGTTTTATCACCAGCCGAGGTGACATCATCAGTGCTTGTGAAGTGGCCACTTCACAAGCACTGATGATGTCACCTCGGCTGGTGATAAAATGTTTGCAAACAAATTGCGAAGCTCGGCGAACATGCGAAATGGAATTCAGTTCACCCGCGCTACGAGAACCGATTTTCAATATTTTGTCAAGGCGCGCTGTGTTAGGCGACCGTCTGACATACGCAAAACGTGTCCTAACCAACGGTGCCTATTGAGCTGGATTCGATGCGACAGCGAGTTCTTGTTTGATGCATTCCCAAATACCCGACGAATCAGCCCTAAGTTACTAACCCGCTCATTTCATCCCACTTAAGCATCAATTATCGAAAACTGCTAAACGACGGATGTCTTCTACCAGCAAATTCAAGGTTTCACAACCGTCACGTCGCCACGGGTGGTTAAGTCCCGTTTACGCTGCTTGAGTCTTGGAAATGCGGGAGGTTATCTCCCTTGATGCGCTACCGTCGTTGATCACGCAGCTACGAGAAGCAGTCAACTTCAGCTAATTCCTGACCGTCTAGTTTCACAGCAGAACTCGGCGACACCCAGTCTTGCAACATCACTGCACTTTGAAGGTGCAAAGCGCATCTCGAAAGTAACGACAGAACTTGCTAATGTGTCAAGTGCTCTTTGTGCATCTTCCATACATTCGAACTAGCAAACGATATCGACAGCGTACTCCAAATCGCACAGCTTTCTCCAGCTGTCCATTCAATACCAACATTTTGGAGACCACTGAGTGCGTTCTCCAGTATTTCGTCTATGACGAAACCGAACAGGAATGGCGAAAGAGGGCACCCTTGACGAACACTGCTGCTATTTACGAATGACCTACTCAACTGGACGTAGACCCTTGCGCTACCAGAAGTATGCGAGTAGGGTGAACTCAGTATGTTAACACACTTCTGAGGCATTCCTTTGCGAAGGAGTGAACCCATACGGGATTCGTGGTCAACTGAGTCGAAGGCTCCTTTTACGTCAGGAAACACGACAACCGTTGATCGACGAAAGAAGAACGAAGATTTCTTACTTGCAAACATTATCACGTGCCTCGGTCTTCGGTGATTTTCGATTTTGTCACTGTAGGCAGTGGATACAAAAAAATTGTTACGTATAACTGTATCTGAACATAGTCGTGCTCTCCTTTGGTCGAGGAGGAATTCGAATTCAAGGAGATATCATGTAACCGTAAAAACTGACTGGCATGATCACCCGTGGGACACCTGCAGTAAATACAGAGAGAGATAGAGTGAGTGGACCAGATGAGGAGTTGGGACACGATGAAGGTAACACATGACCATGACAGTGATAATGATGCTATTCTGTGCACGATGAGACGAACAGTGAACTGATGGGAAAGATAGACAGACAGGAAGTGAGCCATGATTTGGACTGCGCTAGTTTGATGGTCGTTCTGATGCGCATGCGCACACGCGATGTTCTAGTGATGTTAGTCTCTGAGAGTGAGACAGAAGTGTACAGAAAACACGGTTGACTAATTCGGGAAGAGAGTCACGAACGCGAACCAGGCCGCATGCTGCGAAAATAATGTGATGAAAGAGGGGCAAGGGAGACGAAGACCAGTGCAATTTCCCCGTATCCCAACCAAGACAAAGGGAATGGGCTACAGGCGCCAAGAGTGGATGTCCGACGACGAGAAGCAGGCGACTCACGATTAAGGGAACAATCAGAGACCAAGCGTAACTGATGCATATTAGTTTTCCCGGGAGAAAGACTGGTTGCAGGGGGAACAACCGACGGATTCGTTGTCCCAGTTCTCGTCACCGTTTGCGTTCTGGGCGTGACAATCGACTGAGTGCTTTCAAACATAACGCTGGTTTGTTCATCGATGCTAGTCGTAGTGGTGGTGGTGGTAGCACTGGTGCCGACTGTGGTCGTTTCGATTCCTGCCGTAGCGATGACAACAGGGCTGTCGCTGGAAGCATCCACAGAATGTGATATTGTGGTGTTCGTGGCGGACAACTCACTGCTACTGTTTGACAGATTCAAACAATACGGGGAGTCTGGAACCGAAACATACGCGACTGTGTATTCATCTAGCACCTCTTTGCAGGATTAAAATAGTGTGAAAAAGTATGGATACCGATCAGTGAGGACGGGCAAACTTACTCTTGTCAGCCACACAGAACATGCAGTCACGAGGCGAGCGACTGATCAAGGCAAATTTGTACGCGCAGCATGAAATGCAACGACCCCAAGTGAACACGCCCGGGATCGATCCGTCCGACTGGGGTGATCCAGTCATGTTGCCGGCTTCCGCGTTCNCAGCCGGATGGAGACAGCGCGGTGCGGGTCCATGAGCGGAACAACTGGTACAGTCTGAGGCTAAGGGACCACGACAACTGGCACACGTCGGATCACAAGGCACACAGCTCTAAAACAGGTGAATGGCATATGTATGAGATGAACGTGTGATATATAATGGCCGTGCGATATGAAATGTCCGAAGACCGCTCTTCGTCAGCACCAGTATTTGTTGATTTGACGCAAAACGAAATGCTACTCATGAGTAGTCAGATTGAAATAAACCTTTTTTAGGTTATTCGCTGAAAATATCAGACACGTGTAGATACCGGCTACAAACGGAATTATGCCCTACGATAAAATGAATGGAACCGATTTTCCGTCAAGTGAGAAAACCATAAAACCATAAAATTGATTCCTCACGGTCCAAGACGAAGCAGATGATGTATATATATATATATGTTTGTGTGCCCAACAAATCATGGTACAGTAATCTTTATAAAAAAGAAATGTGCTCCATGATTTGCATGTGGGCGGAGCACTGTCAGGTTGCCCAGATCCAGGGCAGGTGAGGAATCCACAACCGGAGCCTTAGGCTAGCCAAAGCCTGACACGCAAGGCAGCCCGGGGCTGGTGTCCACTTCGACGGATATCACGCCCTTTGGATGGGGTCAAACGTTCAAGGTGACCAATACACCGCGTTATCCAAAGGAGCAGTTGACCACTGCTATAAACGGGAAGGTGTGACTCTAAAGCCTCATCCTGATTAGTTTGGAATCAGGGATTTAAGACAACTCCCCCAGGTGAACTACCAGTGGTTCACCAATCTGGTTATAGCCTCGGATATGGGCTTTTCGTGTTCTCACTTTGGTGGGAAAACACAGCCACGAGAGGGCTTTCTCAGCACAGGCTATTTGAAACGCTTGGTCGTACCGGAGCACTTCGCCAGGTACAAGGTAAGGGTAACCAGCCGCAATCCTAGACATCCATCTCCGACTATACTGAGGCTTTTGGGGGCCCGCTAATCAGGACTAAGCTCGAACCCCAACAAACGTATTGGAATTCGCTTATCCCCTACATTAAAGTTCACATTCACTCACAAAAAGCGGGGAACAAGTGAACCTCGTCTTACACTTGAACCACGAAGTGCCCCTATGCCGTCTGTAAATAAATTGTTCCCCGAAAAATATGTTCCCTGTTGACAGTTGACATGCATAGTTTTTTTTAAACTGAAATTTAGGCTGGAGGTTTTGTAAAGGTAACACAATACAATACAATCTTTAAATAACATGATTAGCAAGAGCGCCCCAAGCAACAACAGCTCCTTGAGAAAACAGTAGGGAAAAATTTGCGCTACTGGTAGTGGATATTAGTGGTTCGTAATTTATTGTATTGCAATGACTTCTGTAGGCATAAAGTCTACACTTCAGTTAAAAAATGTACAGTTTATAATGAAAAAACAATAGATATAAATCCCAAAACTGTTAACAAAATTCTGTGAAAACCTGTTCTTTGTCACCTAGAATACTAGTGAGAGTTACGATATATGTTTATTCGAGAGGAAACACAACGATATTGGGATCTAGTTGAAGACAAGTCCAATATCTGAACATGATGTCCCTTCAACTGTGAGCGATCTTCGACTTTCAATATGATATCCGTTCTTCAAAACACTCAGAAAAATAGTACTTGTATCTTGGACCATTCAAGTTTCGTCATTGTGTCATCATCGCATAAAATTTTTCCATTCCAAATTGCCAAGAGGAGGCATCGCTCCATAACTGATTCTCTACCATACTTAAGTAGCATAGGACTCATTATCTGCCCTCCTGTGCAGGTTCGACTATCACACGATCGATCAGTCGAATGGTTCAGCTGCAACAAGGGATATGATCCTTGCTCACCTAACTGGAGCAAGAACCTGCACCATGTACACAACCTCGAGCGTTTAAAATGCCCAGTGAACTTCGACTGTGCACAGCAGGAGTGCCTGTAGCACACCGCTGGATCACAGGTGACAACCAGGGCATTAAAAACATTACGAATCGGTGATCAGGCAATCTCGCGTCCGGTTGAGTGATTCTAAATCACACACCAGTGTGTGATGAACAGCAGTCGGGGCGAACCCCATAGTCACCAAGAGCTGCTGTCCAGTGATGGAAACCGGCAACCAAAGCCCCCGAACTTGAAGTGGCGAAACACATAAAGCCCCGATAAGTTAGGCGTGGTGTTGAACTGGACGACAGCAGAACTGTTTACCAACAAAGTCGTGTGGCGGTGACGGGGCTCGAACCTCGGACCACAGGGTCTAAAGCACGCCGGGGACAGTGATTAAACCACTGTACAAATAGCGGAAAATGATCCCGTCAGATCGCCGAGAGAGTAAGAGGGAATTTAAGCGTTTGAGGTCACGGATTATAGGGACACGGTGATGTGAAACGATGGAACAATCGCACTGTAAATGTCACGTGTATTTTCGACCACTGTTGAATAAACCTCTCTTTTGGCTGTTGTAGGGTACTAAAAACTGACTGACTGGAATTGAAGAGGACTTCTGCACAAGCTCAAATCTTAAATGCTTACTCTCTCTCTCTCTGTCTCGAAATGACCAAATACACGACACAACGATAACACCATTTTCTATTCAGGGGTCCGGAGTTCGAATCCTCGAGATGAGCTCCGAGGAGAGGAAAATTGGGATTCCCACCCTTGCACCTCTTGGTGCACATGATTTGATCGGATGAATTGAAGACCATACGTGTGAACAATCAGTAAGACGACTGGTCAGCAAAAATCAATAGTGATTGATATCATCACATAACTGCTCGAGAGTGTGCCGGGTGGTAAAGAAGCGCTGAAGAAGAAGTAGAAATGAGGTAAACAAAACACAAATCGGAAACAATGCAGACAGTCAATCAATAGGGATTCAGTGTCACGTGAGAACAATGTACACGCACACACACATACTTGTTGTTGATGATCGAAATATTCCGTCTGACGACAGGATTGCCCGAACAGGCACAGGCCTGTGACACGATCCAAATAGAAAGGCGCATTGCACACGGTGCAATGAGTTTCATCTGAGTGTACAGAAGCACGGAAGTGGGGGGATGGAAAGAGGTGAAAGGCGCCAGAATGACAAAAAACAAAACAACATTGTACAAACAGCAAAATTGATTGGAATGGGACTTACTACACCACTAAATCACTCAATGTATAAAAAAGAATCGGGTATAAACGTGTGAATGTCCAAATGCAATATTCCATGACAATAAATAACTTGCACAAAGCGGGAGATGAGGGGGGGGGGAAGCGTTAAATCGAAAATTACACTGAAGTTTATCGTCCACCTCGGTGATTTATCGAACCATATACAATTGAGCCAGTCAGTTTCAGGGAGTTGTGGCTAATCGAATGCTGTTAGGGGAAATACCGAAACGAGGAAGATTGGTGGTGGTGGTGGTGATGGTGGAATTCAAACACACTAACATCGGTCAAAATATTGTGGTGGACACCAACATCTGAATATCATCACCGCCACAACATCAGATTGGTTCCAATATAGCCCGGTGACTGTGAAAACTATAAAATCTTACGAAAGTCTTAAGTTTTAAGTCCATAAACAGATTGGACTTCCCAGGACTGCAATCGAACGCCAGACAGGATTTCAGTAATTGAACTATTTTCATTGATCATCCGATAATTGCCATCTTCGTACCCGATTCTTATTTGATGAATATTCAGGAAGCACTACTCGATAGAAGTTTCTCTCTCATCAGGCACCATCAGTAATGCTTATCTTTCTATCGGAGGATTCCAGATTCGAAATCCATGCGCGTCGCAAGGGAGATGAGTGTGTGTGTTGCTCGAACGGTAGCATCTGACTCATTGGGCCGGAACTATGCGTACCACGAAAATTGATCTAACCTCTCCCAGAACTCTCCTGGACAAGCGAAGAAGAAAATCCCCGACTGTGATGTAACATAGCGTAACTGTTCCTATATGTATTCCAAACAACGTACCAATTCGGAGTTAACACAAATAAATTAGCAGCTACCCATCTAGCTGACCGTTGTGCATCTGGTTTCATATAAATGTGATTGTTAAGGGCTGGTAATGAATTCACCAAAACCACATGTTCGCGTACACTGGTGTGTTAACCAATTATTGACAAAACGATTGGTATGCAATTGCTCGTCCTGAGAGAAACACTTCATCTCTCGGTGGCGATTGCATAAGCCACCAAAAGTGATGAAATCACTCGCATCCGGTTGTGTGTTGTGCTAGGGGACAACTGTAACCGAGACAGGTTCGGTAAAGTGATGCGACAACCTATACTATCACAGTTACCGTATTTTAAATGTGAATGGGACTTGTGATTTAATTGTGTGTGTGTGTGTGTGTGCGCGAGAGAGCAACAACAGGCCCAATTTGACAAACTAGCCGGAACAAAAACATGCCGTTGCAGTTTGTTTGTGAAACACGCGACAACGATCACCGCACGGTCGTTCCTGGACGGTCCGAGTGTTGTGGCTAAATGAATAAAATAAAAATTTGTTATTCCCCCAAATTGGCTGCTTTTGTTTCCTCCTGTTCTGTTTCTCTATTTTTCGTTAACCCATGGCTATTTTGGCGCCGTATCTGTAGAGATTGTTTTCGACCCGGACAACGCTGTCACGATCGATTCAATCACTTACCGGAACAAGCGGAGCAAGCAGTTGGACATGGACGACACACTGTCTCTCCCTGAGCGAGTCGAGTCAGGAATGTGCCCTGAGGACAGGTTGGAACACAATCGAACTGGGGTGGACTGGGAAGTCGTCGGCTAAGGGTGCCGGTGAATGATGATGATGATGGTGAAGAATCTTCAGAGGACTTCAAACGAGTACCGGTATTGGTTTGCAAGGTAGAAGGGTATCTAAGCATGCCTGCCGCATCCAAGTCGGAGTCTGGGTGAGGAAACGGAACGGATGAAACGATCAAATGTCGCTTGGCCGGGCAGGTGAGACAATCCCCAGTCGAGCGGAAGATGGTAGCACAGCGCGAGTTGGTCATCGATGTGGATTGTCTAAGCCAGTTCAGATCAGTCGAAATGGGTGGATTGGGAAAGAGGAAATAAAAAAAACGGAGAAAAGGGACACGATGAGATTTCAGTTTGGACTGTGAATGAATCAATTTATTGTGAACAGAAGAAAACGATGGCCATGGCAAGGTACCTAAGAAGCTGAAAAAATTTGAAACCACCTGAGTTTGAAGTGCTCGAATTGCACGCATCAGCTAGTGATACAAATGCTCGGATCAAACGACCTAGTCAGATGATGGGCCATTTGGGAACAATGAACACGAGACATGTGCCCAGTAGAAAAGCTGCACCAATCAGACGTGCTCATACAAAACAAAATTTCGGTAAAAAAAAACAGGACAAACATATTCGTTCTGGTTGTTTACTCTCACAAGCGCATTCAAATCACTACATACCAATGTGCCATGTTAGATTTGGGGAAATCCAAACCAATTCTGGGCTAATTCAAGATGCAGTTCTTTCCCCATACTTATTTTCTACGTATATTTGTGATTTGTCTGCTAGCGTTCCTACTTTTTTTTCAACTACGCTGACGATGTGGTTTTACGTCAAACCATCTTCGATTCTTCTGGTCTTTCATAATTTTCTGACAACTTGGAAAACGTTCAACAGTTTTCCACCACATCTAGCCTATCGCTCAATCCCCACAAATGTTTCGAATGTCTGTTTACACTATCACGCCCTTCTTTCCCATCTGAACCGGTATCGATTGGCCCTGAACCAGTATCCCGGGTAAGTTGTATTAAATGCCTGGGTCTTTTTTTACTGAGGCTAATCTTCATGGGACTTCTCACATTCACCACATCGTCAGTGAGCTTCGACGACTTTTTTTCCTTATCCGAAAACTTTGTCAGTTTCGTATTTCACAATTGATTACTTCCAAATTCGTTTACCAGTATGCTATTCCCGTTTTACTTTATTATTCACCTGTTCCTAAAGAAAGATTTTAAGCTGGTTAGACGTAGACTGAGCATCATTAGCCGTGTCTCTTCAATCCCGCTGAAGGAGTTGGTAACTAACCTATGCGAAAGTCATTTGAATGCATGTGAAAATTTTGCACATAAGATTCTTATCGACTCCACACATTCGCTACACACACTAATTCAACTTCCGGTTGTTCCCATCCGTCTGCTAGATCCCAATATCGTTGTTTCTTCTCGAATAAACATATATCGTAACTGTACAGTACCCTGATTAGCACGTATGCTAGGTAACAGAAGACAGGTTTTCGCAGACTTTGTTGAGTTTTGGGATTTGAATCGTTTTATTATTTATTTTTAAATTTTCCCTTCCGTTTCAAACTGTATATTTTTAACTGAAATGTAGGCTTTATGCTGGCAGAAGTTATTACAATAACAATAGAGACGAAAGCGTATAAAACACGCACACAGATAAAGGATTGGTTTTATAAAAAAGAAATTGACCATCCTATTCGGTGGGTGGCTGAAGATCAGGAACGAAGCACTTGGTTTATCAGAAAAAGGTTAAACGTAATCAGTCTAGTTTTCTAGGCAAGGATTATCATGCCGCAACAGACACACACGCACCGAGCGGTGGTGGCCCGGTGGTAACATCCGCAAATTATTATCACTTCGGAGGATGTGTGTTCGAATCCCATCACCACCTGCCTTTCCCTGTTACGTGTTGTATGGCAGCCCTTTGATTGGCCGCTTCCTCCTTCATGAACATTGTATCATTCAGTGTATTCAATTCAAGGAAGTAAAAACAGGAAAGAAAAGAAGAAATAACATCGAATCGAATCGAATCCAAGGTTTCAAAAGTGAAACATTGTGTAAACCGTTCAACGGCACAGCTGTACCAACTTCGGTTTACGCAGAAATTAATATTGATTGAAAGCATTTGAATTAGATAAGGCAATGGTTCCACCATGAAAGCGCCCGTACCAAACACTTGTTGGAGATTATTCGCGCGTCAACAAATCTTAGCAGATTTGAGGGTACCCGAGAAAACCAACTAGCACGACACGAAGCAGACTTTGATTGATTGATTCATTAGAACTGGCCATCATTCAAACTTCATATTCACGTAAGCTCTTCCAATCAACTATACACCCGGAAGCACTAGATTCGAGTTTCGCTCTTATTAGAGCTCACCAGTATTGCATATTCACCGTCCCTTCCGGACACATCGCAGGGAAATGTGCGTGAAGTGGTGAATGCTGAAGGATGATCAGTTCTAATCAATCAATCAACCAATCAATAGCAATTATCCCACAACACTACTCACAAGTAGCTGTGAGTTAAATGCGAATCAAACTTTAATTGTCCGTTAAGAACGTGCATAAATCTGTATGAACCTAAATTCACATAGTTCATCGGAAGAGTGGACGAGGGCAAAACAGTCGAGAACTGACTTGGGCAAGATACAACGGCCATCACGCAATTCCAGGCCCGGGACGCAGAGATCACAATTGAGAAACCCCGAGCATTTGTGACAGCCCGGACCGCATCGTTCGCATTTTTGTGGACGTGGAGAGGTAGGCGGATTTGCCCCAGGGGCCGTGGAATAGGGACTGAGCTCATGTAATCCAGGGTACCAACCCGGAGGGCATTCGGAAACACAAGAGCCGTTCATGAAGTAGCTGAATCGAGAAATAGATCCAAGAGACCGGGATTTCGTGATGCGGGATGAGGGCGGTTGGTTGGATAGTTAGCAAAAGTGACAAACGTGACGGAAAGGAAAGAATTCAGTAAATGAAATCAGTCACAAATGAAAGCAAACAATATGTCTAACGGGAAAAGAGCAAGCAGGCACAGTCAATACATTTCAAAATCACGAATACACATAGACCGACAATAATCTAAATGAACCTCATTTATGTGAATCCCACTCAGTGTATTTGAAGCATACAATCAATCTAGGAATGCCATTCATCCGTTTTCGGACCATTTTCCGTCCGACTTCATCTTTTCGAGGGGGACAACAACATTTGTCAAGATTATTCTCTTTCGCGTTCGTCAATGGTTGGGAACCAGTATCGAAAAGTGCACTATTCTCCGGATGAGACTTGTAAGATAGTGGGATTTACCTACATACAAAACTGGCCGGATCTGTTCGGGTGAACGCCTTCTGTGGTCAATACAAACAATAGATTGTATAGCTAGCTATGCTTGGTAATGGATTTACGCTTCAAGGACAAAAAAATACTGCATGCGTGTCACACAACCTGGTATGATCCGGCGACGGGAGGGATCGAGAAGAATGATAGAACAAGGAGATCGGTTTGGCTACCATGTCAGCTACATATCTCGTAGTGGGTGAGTCTAAGAGTGATGTCGCAGAACTATGTAGCGACTTAGTTTGCTATCACATGGCGTCCTTCGGGCTTCAAGGTCTCCAGGCTGTGGAAAATCACGTGGAGACGAGGCATGAAGAAACGCACGGAGTGATAAAGGTGGGCTTGTGTCCAACAGGCAGGCTGACTGATCCGTTGGAGACACTAAGAGCACCAGTGGAGTTCTCTTTGTCATATCTTATCGGCGGACCGGAATCCCTGACACGGTCTATATGCACAGTTAGACTGTATATGCTTTTTCCGTCTCATCGTTCAACTCAGAACCATTCCCTATGCACCTTAAGCATTCATAATTACCTTGGGTCGACTGCAAGTTTGGCAGCGACTAGCGATATTCACTTCACTGTATCTTGATCTACAATGATGTTAATGATTTAGGGTTGTTACTTATTTGTGCAAATTCCGGTCAATGTGTAGGTATTGAACCCGATCATCTGTCTAGGATTAAAAGCAATATGCTGCGACGCTTTGATTAGTCTCATTTAGTGACGGAACGATCTGATGCAGAGTTTAGTCACCAAAGCAGGCAGGTTGCGCATCGAGATAGTTCGAATATGACCGGGTGCTGTCTTCGTCTAAATCTGCCTGGGGCCGGGGCGGGGGGGGGTGCAGTATTCAGCAGGCAAGTAGACAGTGAACGGATTGGAGAAGTACGCAATCAGTTCCTGATTTGCGGAAACGGTATGACGATGATGATGATGATGATGATGATGATCTCGATCGATTGTTGAACTGGACCGAATAGGCGATGTGAGGTCCGGAAAACTCGTTAAATTCGGTAAAATCGTGAGCACACTTGTCTGTACATCCTTTCACACGGACCAGGCGATGAATGCCATCGAAATTAGGCGTCCGTTGGACAGAATTCCGTGTATCCAGTCAGACTTGTGTAACAGCTGACACAGAAAGTAGCAAAGNGGAATATTGACATATGAATTTGGAGGACTTAGGAAAGTCTGGAAATTTTCTTGTGAGCAGGCAACGGCAGCAATCTGCCTAACATTATTATTATTATTATATTAACTGTTACACTGATTTCCAACATGAGAAATCTCACCAAAACTTATGCGCAAAACATCGGTGAACAGGTCTACGAATCGCGGATCTCACGTCTTCAGACGACACAGTGGTACTCGATTGTATCAGACAAATCACCAGGACAGAAGATTGAAAATTCAATGGAAATTCCGAAAATAATGAAACACTTTGTTCAACCCCCGACCGATGCGTCCAACAGTACCCGTCCGTACGAGTGGGCGGGTAAGTAGGATAAAGGTTATCGATCATCAAATCAGTTGAATCCATCATGCTACCGAGCGGAAAAACCTAGCACGAAATAGACATCTGTAGCCCTAGTAGAGCTGTTCGGCAAATACAAAACTCGCTGTACAACCGTTGCCAAATAAACCTGGAAATAGAGATGCATCTCCACAGAGCAGCGGTTAGTTTTATCCTAACAAACGACAGGGAAACATGACCAGTTACACCCGAACACATCAAAATGCTAGGTCTTTCGTTCCATAGCGAATGCAAGGTAGCAGGATCGAATTTCGATCGAAGATGTTGTCCAAAGCTACGCGAGCGCAGAAAGCCTGAATTCTTTCGCCCAAACGGAGAAGTTCGCTGTGGTTCGACATAGTGATTAGAAACTATGACGTCTTAGCCCCAAGCATTGATTGAAATCAAAATATGGCCATGGTGACTAACCGAGAACCTGGATCTCTACAATACGGGCTCATATGAAGCAAGTAGGTCGGCACTGACTCAGCCCTGATTACTGGGGGGGGGGGGATGGGATAAAAAAATCCGTCAAATCGACTTTTCCGCATGTCGGAATTAGTTGCTTAAAAGGAAGGAATACAAGTAAGCACATACCCTCGGTTCGGAAAGAAACAACAGTGGAATCAAACAATGCATCACACGGAGGACATCGAAACGTCTACAGCCTGCATGGTTAACGGGATCCAATCGTGGCTAGACAAACTTCATTAGATCCAACGCTAAGTATAAACAGAGGCAGACTGTTCGGAAACATATCTTACAGACAGATAATGTATCACTGACAGGTGTCTCCGAAAGAATCAATATGGTGCACGATGAAAATTTTCACTTTTCATTACTCACCTTTCCTTTGAACTTCACGAAATGTTCCCATGCCAATTTAAATTTCTATTATGGTTAAATTAAAAAGCTGATACTTATTGAAATCCCATTCGATCTGTACACACACACACAGTGGATTCGGTTGGTAGTACAATTAAATAACAGACTATGACGTTCACTCACGGGCGCTGAAAAGTTAGGTGTAGTTCATCAAGCCCTGTGACTTGAATGAATCGATGCTTGGTGCACAAATGATTTGAAGGGGAAGAGAGTTACAGATATTGGAAAACTGTGGGGCTGAAAGAGTGAAACCTGCAATTTTGCTGACTCTTTGGGAGCAACAGTTTAAACGGATGTCCTTTGGAGATGACCATTCCTTGATAGTGTTTGTAGAGTACTACACGGGTGGTGGGGCTGATGTTGGCATTTGACGTACGATGATCATGCCTGGCCAAATTCGATGGTGTTCAGACGAATAGAGTCCGAGAACATGCAGTCTTTCACCGTCGGTTTTAGATTTTAACCCCGTAGACCATTTTCGGTTGCTGTTCTCTGCAGACGTTCGAGCACCTTTTGGTCGCGAATTAGCCATGGATTCTAAGTCTGTATATCCTACTCCGTGTGTGGTCAACTGTCTGCTGATAGCAAATGGGAGAAATAGGTCTACTTCGAACGATCCAAAAACACGTTTTAGCAATCCAACTTGCATTATGACCCTTTGAGCAATGTGTGGAACATCCTAGATCCTCACGAACACTAACTCCCAGATTCTTTTCATTTGAAGAACGCGGTAATGCCTGAGCTCCAATTTGGTATGGAAAGCGACCCCTGTGACGCAACGATACAACCTAACATTTCTCAACGTTGAATTCGATATCATTAATGATAGACTATCAGGCGTCTCAAACAGTCTTAACTGAGGAAACCCCAAACACTGCGCTCCCGTGGCTGAAGTGTTTTGTCACCAAAGTGATAGGACGAAAAGCCAACTTCCGATACTATAACCAGGTGGTGATGGCTGAAAATTCCGATTCCAAACTAACCAAGAAGAGGTTCGCAAATCACACACACACACACACCACCTTCCTGGTTGTGGCAGTCACCACAATGGATGTCAGACTCCGATCAAAGGGTATATGATCCAATGAATTGGACAGGCCGTCCATCACCAATGAAGTGCTGTTTCCAAACACTGTCCCACTGAATGACGGGTCAGGCTTTAGCAAGGCTGCAGTTGTGAACTCCCTAAGAAGATTTACCGAGTTTCGATTTGGGCAATCTGGTAGTATTCCGCCCACGAGCAAATCATGAACCGTTGATGATAAAGATGATTGACCGTGATTCGTTTGGCAAACAGTCTGGACTCAGACGCGCATGAAACATACCTCCTCATACACAAATATATGTTCACATGCTGTTACGCACACGAAAAGTCGGCACAATCAATAATTAGTCAAGTTAAAAATCACTGTCGAATACCTCCGGATAACTTTTGATCCATTGAGGGGGGATCTATTCACTCAGTGAGTTGCGCGAAAAATGTGACAACATTTGTGTTGGGGGTGATCGGCCGTTGAGCGAGGTCTGGTTTTTTTCCGACACTATGATAGTTAAACTGTACAGTCTATTCTTGTACGACAATTTTAACGCTTCATCTCATTCTCGGTGGATGCGAAAGCGACAGAGAGAACGGGGATTGCGACACACCAGTGAGAATCGATTGATCGATGGTGTCGCCATTGTTTAATGACATAAGAGTACAAACGGTTTAGTCCGGTTCGCCGCGTAACTCGCGTAACCACATCTGTGCTCGCGACTGTTAAATGAATTAAAAGTGCTTGGCATGCGGATTCATCAAAAAAGGAATCATCTACCAAGACAAAATTAAATTGTGCGGTGTAGAGTGAGGGTGGGGAGAGCAGAGAGATCGATGAGAAGACCCACTTGTCTAACACCTCAGTCTGTAACAAAGGTGGTCAATTTGAACGCGAAAAACAAACAAACGAACAAATCCTCGAACCTCAACAGGACGATAGAGCAGTATATGGAAGAAAAAATAAACGGAGATCAAA